GATGCAAATGCACTTTGGTGACTGATATATGCAGGTGATTTGTCCTTCAATTTTACTCAAACTAATTTTAATTAGTGGGTTGTGAATAATGATTTTTTGTGACTTTATATGTGATGAAAAAGCCTGAAAATGTATTGTATTCAAAAATAAGTATAATACATGTTTGAGAAATAGTTTGCTTATGCGGGATTCAAACCCACATCCATAGTACACATCGCTCTACCATTTGAGCTAATAGGCAACAATTTGTTTTTTCAAATAGACTCTCATCTTGCACTTAGACCTACTAAATACATAGTTTCATATTTAAAATTGGCATCATTCGTCAACGTATTTCTAGCCCATGCTCAAATGTATGATAAAATATTTCAATGCATCATCATTTGCAAAAAATCAATTTATAGACTATACTGATGCATCATATTTGCATGAGAAGAATTTCACAATGAGATGCATCAACTTTGACTTTTAGAATACAAAATAAAAGGATGCATTGTCTAGAGTTACAATGCATCTTATATTCTCTATAATGCATATCTAGGGTGCGTATCATGCATTTAAGCATGAACGAGAATTCTTCTGCTTTATACTCAGTATCATAATGTTTAATCAGAAAGTAAACAAATGCAAAGTAAATGCATCAAAATATGAGGTAAGTGCAATGCCCGTTGTACATAAAGCAGTGCCAAAAAGACTTAATTATAACAAGATATCACACCATAAATATCAATTATTAGAACAAATTTAGATACTAAATCCAGAGTTATCGAAAAATATATTTCAAATCACAGTTCATCAACGAGCACATGCAAGAGAATAACCAGAATAACAAATAGAGGTTTTTTTCTACACAACATATAAAGATTAGAATGGAAGAAAAGATACATGATTATACGTCTATCAAAAAAGTAAAAAAATTTTTTAAAAACAATAACTCTATAAAATTTCAATATAAAAAACCAAAAATTTCAATAAAAAAATGCAAAGAACTAAGTATACAATAAAAAATACATCACTAGTAATTCAATCATCATGGGTCGTGGCAATCAGGAGCATTTACAAAAACAAAAAATGTATCACCATTTCACCACGAATTTTAATATGCAAATTATAAGTCAAGAATCAAAAATAAAAAGAAGGTTATTGATGCAATTAGAAGTGAAAACTTAAAAGGGGGGTGGGTTTGGAAATATACCAAACATACCTTTTTCTTTTGCAATTTCAACCCATCTGAGACCCCTGGCCATAAGTGAACAGTGAGGTGTGCTCTTGCACCCGCGGAAGCCAATCGTGAGAAGAAAGCCAGTAAAACGCTGATACCAAGACCGCGGTGCTTGTTTCAGTCCATAGAGCGCCTTGTTCAGTTTGCACACATAGTGGGATCGGGCAGGATCCTGAAATCCAGATGGTTGGGCCGTGTATACCGTCTCTGTGAGAGTGCCATGAAGAAAGGCATTCTTGACATCAAGCTGGTGAATTGGCCATCCTCGTGATACGGCTAAACTGAGAATGATCCGAATAGTTGCCGGTTTGACCACCGGGCTGAATGTCTCATCATAATCTATGCCATGACGCTAATTGAATCCTCGAACAACCCATCTGGCTTTGTACATGGACAGTTCACCTGTAGGGCTAAGTTTGTGTCTAAAAAGCCATTTACCGGAGATAATATTTTGGTTAGGGGAGGGAGGTACTAAATCCCATGTATTATTAGCAATCAAAGCATTATATTCATCTAACATAGCATTGTACCAATTTTGATCTTTAAGTGCACTACGGTAGGTGGGGGAATGGGAGAGATGCTAGCAACGGTGTTTAGGTTTAGGACTCGTTTAGGGCAAAAGATCCCGGCCTTAGCGCGGGTGGTCATGGGATGAGTGGGCTGAGGATGCTGGGTTGCTTCGGGTGGGTGGGCCGTGTCATGTGGACTGGGAGGAGATTGGGCCGAGGAGGGGGAAATAGTGGAGGTGGGCTGTGGGAGGTTTGTTGGGCT